TTTTTTTTTTTTTTTTTTTTTTTTTGTTTTTGCTTGGGGTTTGGTTTAGGTTTTTGTTTGTTATGGATTTGTTTGTATGTGCATAGGGTTATTTATAATGTAAAAGAGACAGAAAAAGAGACAGAAAAAGAGACAGAAAAAGAGACAGAAAGATAGAGAGGAGACAGAAAAGGAGAGAGGAGACAGAAAAGGAGACAGAAGAGGAGACAGAAGAGGAGACAGAAAAAGAGAGAAAAAGAGACAGAAAAAGAGACAGGAAAAGAGACAGAAAAAGAGACAGAAAAAGAGACAGAAAAAGAGACAGAAAAAGAGACAGAAAAGGAGACAGAAAAAGAGACAGAAAAAGAGACAGAAAGGGAGACAGTATAAATGCATATAACATCTTTGTTGCCTTAGGGGATGAATATGAGGCATACAGAGACAGAAAAAAAACAGAAAAAAAAAGAAAAAAAACAGAAAGAGACAGAAAAAAAAACAGAGACAAAAGGAGACAGCAGGAGACAGCAGGCGACAGGAGGAGACAGGAGAAAGAGACAGAAGAAAGAGAGAAACGTACCTCTTTCTTGGCCAAGAAGATATGAATATGAGGCATAAAGAGACAGAAAAAAAACAGAGAAAAACAGAAAAAAAGCAGAAAAAAAACAGAAAGAGACAGAAGGAGACAGGAGGAGACAGGCGGAGACAGGAGGAGACAGAAGGAGACAGAAGAAGGAGACAAACGTACCTCTTTCTTGGCCAAGAAGATGTATTTCATCGATGATGAGTAGCCCCACATCAGTAACGAACTTTTTCTGTCTCCACTGTCTAGACAGCCCATCCCACTTCTCTGGTGTACATATAAACAAATCTGTTTTATTAAAGTTTATTTCTTCCTCCTCTGCTGCTGCTGCTGCTGCTGCTGCTCTGCTGCTGCTGCTGCTGTCTCCTGTTAGCTGAGCCACACGCAGGCCCAGCTGTCTCCCCAGTCTCTCGCTCCAGTCCCTCATCCTCTCTGCAGCAAGTGCTTTGAGTGGTGCTATATAAACTATTTTTTTTTTGGGGCTTTTTTGCATGCATCTTAATATACCGAGCTCAGCTACTATAGTTTTGCCGCTGCCTGTTGGGGCCCCTATTAATATATTATAATCTGTATGGAAGCAGAGATGAAACACCTGAGACTGTATAGGGTTAAAGAAAGAGAAAGAATATAAATTTATATATTTATCTATACCCAATGCATGAACAGGGACAGGATGTATGTTGAGTAGAGGTGTTGCTGCTGCTGCTGCTGCTGCTGCTGCTGCTGCATCACTCATATATACTTGTGCTGCAGCAAAAGGATAGCTGCTGCTTACCCCCACCCATCTATCGCTTATAAGATCAACTACAAACTGTGTTTGTCTCCCTGGGTCATGTAAAGGTATACAAAACTCCACCTTTTGCCCCTCCTGCTCCCGCTCCTGCTGCTGCTGCTGCTGCTGCTGCTGCTGCTGCCGCTGCTGCTGCTGCTGCTGCTGCTGCTGCTGCNGCTGCTGCTGCTGCTGCTGCTGCTGCTGCCGCTGCTGCTGCTGCTGCTGCTGCTGCTGCTGCTGCTGGTGGCGGTGGTGGTGTTTTTTTTTCTGGTGCTGGCGGCCCAATACAAGGGTCTCGCTGTGCAGCAGCTTGCCTGTGTCTGCTTCAGATAGCCATAGATGGAAGGGCTCACCGGCACCATGTATAGAGGGAGAGAAGACAAAAGCAGCAGCAAAAGAGACAAAAACAGAGACCCTGAGTATATGTCTAGTAACAGCAGCAACAGATACATGCATATCTACAAAAGGAACAAAACGAAGCGCGCGATATATATCTTCTGCGTCTTCTTTGCTGCTGCATATATGCTGCAGCTCGCTTATAGATAAAGACAACAGCCGCTCATTCGTAAACCTAAGCTTCTCTATTTTATATACAGCCTGGGCTCTCACCAAACCCCTATCCCCTCTCCTCTGCCGCCGCTGCTGCTGCTGCTGCTGCTCCTCCTCCCCCTGCTGCTGCTGCTGCTGCTGCTGCTGCAGGTGGTGCTGGTGGTATTTGGGTTGGAATCGCTGTTGGGGGTCTAGAGAGAAACAAAAAGGGTTTATAAAGTGGTGGAGTATGCATGCATCAGGCCACATGCATCTCTCTATAGACAGACACCACTGCAGCAGCTTTGCTGCTTCGCTTGTTTTTCCTATTATGTCTGTTTGTGCTGCAGTAAGGAGACAGCGAGAGATACGTGCTGCATTTGTATATATATAAAACATATCTGTATATAAAGAAGAGAGACAGGGGATAGTATGAGAGAGACAAAGCTGCAGCAAGACAAAAACTTTATATATTACGCTGTCTTTGTCTCCTTTATATTTTAATCGACATATATTTTTATTCTCTTGGTATTTATCTATCTCTTCTTTTTCTTCTTTTCTCAAACGTAAAGAAGCAAAATCATTTGCTGCTGCTACTAGCTGCAGCACCTTTGTGTCTGTCACTGCAGCAGCAGCAGCAGGAGCAGCAGCAGCAGCAGCAAGCTCTCTAGCATATAACAAAGCAGTCTCGTAATCAATATAATATTTTGCTGCTATTCTTCCTAGTTCTGTTGCATCGAGTCTGCCGCTCCTTACATGGTAGCGCAGCAGTCTGCTGCTGCTGAGTGTTGCTGCTGCTGCTGCAGCAAGAGCTAGCCGCTGCTGCAGCAGCAAAGGGTCTTGCTCTATTGCTGCTGGAGATATACCGTAAGATAGAGGAGAACTATGCATGCGTATAAATAAAAATGTATACAACAACCATTCTGCTGCCTCATATATACTAGATATAGAACCAGCAGCAACCTCTGCGTTTAATATATTAGGTAGCTGCTGCAGCAGTCTAGACTCAACACAAAAAGAAGAGGAGAGAAAAGATATATATTTATTTATTTTTTTATATTCTGTTAGTAATATAGCTTCTCCTTTTGTATCGTATTGGGGTCTCCCTGCACGCCCAAATATCTGTTGTATATCTATAAACCC